TCTTTTCTGAATCTCATCTGTGAACTAGGAGGTGGCTCCGCAATTCCAAGCTGGAGGTGCAGAATCTGGGACAGTGGGGGCACTGAAAGTCTGTTGTCTTAACCACTGCTGATAATGTCCTGCGGCATTAATCTCTGGCAGCAGGAAGCTTTTGGCGTCGAGCATCCTCGAAGTTGACAGCAGAATCATGGATTGAGTTTCACCCACGTGGTCGATCATTGGCGCATTCCTCTAGTTCTTCGGGTTTGAGCATGTACCCCTGGAGATTTGCTTTCACACTCTCTTTTTCCCGCTTCTTCCGTACAACAGACGTCTTTACAAACGGTACTCCACTATGCGGATGACATTCCCCAACCAATGGATTTGGGCCTTAATGAGCATGGACTCAGTGCTTGAGGAATGAGTACGATCCAAGACCTCAAGGTTGGTAAAGCACTCCTGCCAGCGTTACATATGGTGTGTGTATAGCATGAGTTAAGAAAACCTTTGTGAATATCCAAATATTTTATCACGTTTACACAGTTAAAAATAAAGCCAGCAAATTCTAAAAACAAGCTTAAAAATAATCATGTGTCCTATCAATTGAATATCGATTACTGTAGATACTATACCAAAATATATCCACTCGAAATTCACCATAAATTTAGGTTTTAAAACAGATACAATTAAAAGGACAAGAGGAAAACTTCAACTACATTACTTGGAAATACGAATAGAAAAATGAAAAGAAAAAGAAAACATCTGTAGAATGTGCTAACCTGTTATTACACCTCACTCGTTAGAACTCGATCTTATTATAGGTTCAAAATTTTATGCCTTTACTTAAATACATCTATAATTAATTCTTACTTTTTCTTTTTATATTTCTTGTTATTTCAAAATGCGTTTATTTTTTTCATAAAAACCTCGATTGAATCTTGCAAGTCAATTTTTGTATAATAAAATTATTAACCAGCCGATGTTAGTAAACTTTCTGAAGCATGCTATATATGATGAAAAGCACTTAAATGTGTTCTGGGTATGACGATAAACTACATCCGCGTCCTGGGTAAAAGGATAAACCACATCCGCGTCCTGGGTATGGCGATAAACTACATCCGCTTCCTGGATAAAACGATGAACTACATCCGCGTCCTGGGTAAGACGATAAACTACATCCGCGTCCTGGGTAAGACGATAAACTATATCCGCGTCCTGGATAAGAGGAAAGCCTACATCCGCGTCCTGAGTAAGACGATAAACTAAATCCGCGTCCTGGCTATCGCGATAAACTACATCCGCGTCGTGGACATGACGATAAACTACGTCCGACAGCAAAGCCTTTGGTCAGAAAGTTTTGAGGGGCGTGGAACCACCTCTTAATTGCTGGTGCTTCCAGGTCCACTCTGACCTGTGGTTGTATCATCTGTTAGGATCCCAGCAATGAGCAAATAGTTAACCCTTAAACTGGGGGGCAAAACAGAGTGAAAGTGTAAAAATAGGTTTTAATACCAGAAATACTTTTTATAAAAAATATTACCAGCAATTTTTGAAAAAAAAAAATTAACAGCAATACATTTTTTGAAAGAAAAAAAGCGGATTTTTGAAAGAAAAAAAATTGTTACCAGCAATAAAAGTTTTGTCGACATTAAATAACCCATTGAGGTTGATATGCCGTAAAACAAAACACACACGCACTTCAATGTGTTGTGGCTAGCAAGCCTGTCTTGCTTGATCAATTACGACTGAATAGTGAGTTCGATCCTCACCGGGGGCTCTATATATTCTAGCTACGCTTAAGAAACCATCTTACTATGAATGATCAGTATATCATACACCATGGCAAAGACATTAACAGTGGCCAAACATAAATTGGAGCGAATCATGCCCGACATAATTTTACGTGCCAAGAAAAGCAGCGCTGGAGTGAAGGACGTAAAGGAGACCATGAAGAGGAGCGAACATATAATGATTTTCCAAGCGTAGCGTAGATGTGGCATAAGGCCGAAATTATGGGGCACCCACTGAGGATCGAACTCAATACTCAGTCTTAATTATTTTAGTGAGACAAGTTTGCTAGCCATTTCACCACTTCGAGGTACAACCAAAAAGGAAGCATACTCCTCTCTTCATATCTGTCAATAATTTTCCAAGCGTAGCTTAGATGTTGCACAAGGCCGAATATATGGGGCACCCAGTGAGGATTGAACTCACTATTCAATCGTAAATGTTCTAGCGAGACAAACTTGCAAACCATTACACCGACTCGAGGTTCCTCACAAGAGGAGCACACATATATGAGATAGTCTCTTCTCTCATCTCAAAGACAACAGGGGGACAATTAGAACGATAGTGTGGGCACCTGGGCAGCGGGAAAGAACTAGTGGGCGGCGGCAAAAGATAAGCTAGCAGGACGATCTGATCCGATACGCTGGTCTCAAATGACCTGGTATGGCCTGATATAGAAAATGGTGGATGTCAACTCGGGTGGGGTACTTACAACAGGATTGAGAAGGTCCTGAAGTTGGATTACGAAGATATACTGAAACTGAGAAGGCAAAAAGCGATGAGAAATAGGATAAAATAAAAACCAAAATATGGACAAGAGGCAAGAAAGCAATCCAAGTTTTCTCTTTCTCTTAGAACCATAAATAAGTTATAAAAGATGTAATAATTCAGTTGGTCTCATTAAACGGTTCACTGAACGTACGCACGCGCCTTCACACTTGTCGATATTACGAACTATTGCTGAATGTATTAAAAGTTAATTTAGCGATTAATTTAATCAAGCGAAATAAATCTTATTAATAACTTGTTAAAATATATGCAGTTGTGAAAAGGAGTATTCATTGAAGAGAAAATCACGCACTCATTTTCTCTTTGAAATGTAATTGATGTTACTCAGATGCATGGTAAAAGTTACTGAAATGGAATAAATAGAGAGGCAAAATTGGTCTTTACGATATGCAGGTGGTCGAAATATTCATCGTTAGAGAAAGCTTCCGTGGCTAATAGATGAATGAACGTTCTGCACTACTGGTTTTGTATTATCGACATGATTCTTACTGCTGTAGGTTTTAAGGCGACAGTAATTTCATGGCTGATAGACTCTAGTCTGAGTTGCACTGAAACCACGAGATTTTAACGAAGATTTGTTGTTCTTAAGCTTATTCTGCTGTTGCGTTCCCAATAAAATAGAAGCATTTTGAAATAAGGAAAAAAAATTAGTTGTTGATGAATTTCAGTAAGGTCATTAAATTAGAAACCCCGTTGGATTTTGTGGTTGAAAGAAGTTTGCAAGGTAAATTAACAGTGAGATATGTTTTCTTAATTTTTCATTCCGATTTTCTCTCTATTTTTTTTTGATTTTTATTTTTCTGCATTTCTTTATAAATTTCTATTTCATTTTCTGATTGAATTTCTGAAATAAGAAATTTGTCTATATCTCTGAGATGAAGTATTATGATTACTTGAATTATTTACATTATTCGGACGGTCATCCCCATTTCACTGACATATTCACAACGTTTCGGCCTCTATATCTCTGCGATGAGGTATACTTGCATTATTTTCATTATTCGGACTGTTATCCTCATCTTCATTCCCATATTCACAACGTTTCGGCCTCTATATCTCTGCGACGAGGTATACTTGCATTATTTACATTATTCGGGCTGTTAAAGTCATCTTTATTGCCATATTCACAACGTTTCGGCCTCTATATCTCTGAGATGAGGTATTATGATTACTTACATTATTTACATTATTCGGACTGTCATCCTCATCTTTATTGCCATATTCACAGCTTTTCGGCCTCTATATCTCTGAGATGAAGTATCATGATTACTTGCATTATTTACATTATTCGCAGTGGTATCCTCATTTTCATTGCTATATTCACAAGATTTCGGCCGTTGTCAAAGATACATGGCCTAGTGCATATGGATGCTGGTTAGATCCAGTGACTAGACTCAAAGAGATGTGAGTTCAATACCAGGCCACAGCAGTGGTGAACGAACACTTTAGAGTTGAGTTAAAGGGAAAAAAAACTGAGACAGTCGCAAGAGGCATGGCACGTGAAACTAGAACAATCTACCCAGGTGTACGAAATAAAGAGTTCGATTTGAAATTCCAATCTCCTGAACAAAGTCGGAGCGTACAACGGCCGAAATGTTGTGAATATGACAATGAAGATGAGGATAATAATCCGAATAATTTAAATAATGCAAGAAATTATAATTATTTAGTTACGGACTATCGTACTCATCATTTTTATTATCACAGCATTCCGGGCATTGCGCCCTCTGCTCTACAACAAGCGCTTGTCGATTTTGCTTCTTGATCCGTTTTCTATTATTATTTAAGCTTAGTAGCTTTAAGTCTGTGATTGATCGATTCGTTTTCTACGGCTTATCAACCCATTGCAGGTTATTTAATGCCAGAAAATATTTTTAGATTTTAAGAATTTTTTTTTTTAGAAATAATAAGTCTTACTAATTAACCCAGAGCTGGAGGCGTGAAGAGTTGGATTAAAACCTAATACGAATTTGATAAACAAACAAGAAATTATAACGTGGATATAAAGTGGGGGGGGGCAATTTTATATTACAGTCAATATATAAACTGATCCCTCACAATGTGGCCATGGTAGTTTCTATATATTTATATTCCAGAGCATGTAAATAAATTTAAAATACATGGCTGTATAGTTAATCAGTATTTCATTGATCGATTCGTTTTCTACGGCTTATCAACCCATTGTAGGTTATTTAAAGCCAGAAAATATTTTTAGTTTGCAAGAATTGTTTGTGTTTTTTGTTTTGTTTTCTTTTTAGATAATAATGGTTTAGTGATACAAGTCTTAGTTATTAACCCATAGCTGGAGGGTGAAAAGATGGATTCATAGCTTTCCAAAGCGTATTTGCACGTGAGTGAATTTAACAATCCCTACGAGAATTGGAAATCAGCTCTTCAATGAACAAGTCCGAGCCATTATCCATTACACCACGTGCACATCCAAGCTTACAGCACCTGATATTCCCAAGAGGTCACCCATCTAGTTACTGACCAGGCTCTACCTTGCTTAACCTCGGTGATCGTACGAGAACCGTTGTTTCAGCGTGATATGTCTGTAAACCTTGATTGTCCATTCGAGTAGCCTTCAGGGAACATTGAAATGGACACTTTATTTAATCTACGGATGTACAGTTGTCTCGCTCCTCTGAAAATGTCGAGGGATATCTCATCAGGTTCCTGTTTAGTAATGCTCAGTTACTGCAAGCCGCATTTCAGCAGCAGTCTGGTCAGCAGGTAAATTAGGTTAAAGCACCAAGTTATACACTCTGGATTGTTCCATGAGATAAAGTTATACACTCTGGATTATCCCATAGAATAAGGTTATAAACTCTGGATTGTCCCATGAGACAAAACGAAATGGATTAAAGCCTTGAACTTCGTGGCAGTAATTGTAAGTTCGCTCCCTAGAAACGGGTCGAACAATAACTGAGATTTACTAAGAATGGATTAAACGAGATATCTCAAGACATGATCAGTGGAACGAGAACAATCTAACCCCATAGATTAAATAAAGTGTTCAATTCAAAATCCCCTGAAGGTTAACCGGATCAGGAAGTAACTTAAAGGCCGGAGGGCATTATGACCGAAACGATGTGATAATGCCAACAAACATGTGGACAATAGGTTTTATACAGTATTTACATTAGTCGGACTATTGTCCTCGTCTTTGTCGCCATATTTGTCACAACGTTTCGGCCGTTGTACGCTCCGGCCTTCTTCAGGTGGGTGGAATTTCGAACTGAACCCTTTATTTCGATCACTGGGGTAGACTGTTCTAGTTCCGCGTGCCATGTTTGATGGATGTCAGTTATCAGTTATCTCCTGCTAATTTTCCCTCTGAAAGTTCTCCACTGCCTTAACCAGGTATTGAACTCACCTTCTTTGGGTCTGTCACTGGATCTAACCAACGCCTTTATTCACTGTGCTATGTGTCCTTTCAGAGGGAAAATTAGCAGGAGATAACTGATAACTGACATCCATCAAACATGGCACGCAAAACTAGAACAGTCTACCCCAGTGATCGAAATAAAGGATTCAGTTCGAAATTCCAACCACCTGAAGAAGGCCGGAGCGTACAACGGCCGAAACGTTGTGACAAATATGGCGACAAAGATGAGGACAATAGTCCGACTAATGTAAATACTGTACATAATACCTCATCTCAGAAATATAGACAGACTCCAATAGGTTTTATCTTTGCTTTCTTTCATTTCATAAGATTTCGCCTGCTGCACTCTCTGGCCTTCATCATATACTTGCCGTATATATGTGTTTACGCGTTCGGCCAGAGTAAATACAATGAGAAAACAAGAACTTTACAGAAATGTGTAATCAAGATCAAACAAAAGTTCTAGATAATTGACCTTTCAAAACTTTGTACCTCAAAAAACGCCGCCAATAAACAAATAGCCCCATCATCCCACCACACGTGGATATTTTGTAATACTCAATTTAAAACGTCAACATTGTGATCCTGACTCAAGCACTCCACTCAATTTCATAGTTTACCCAAAGAGAACTCTTGCCGCACAAGTCACCCGAAGAATTTGGCCAACGCCCTAACAACGCTATTTGACTACAGGAAGGTCAAGACTATTTTCTGTGATGTAAACTACAGTTCAAAAGTTTAAGGAAAACCCGGTATTTTTTTTAAATTGGTATCAAATGTTGTTGTTTTGCAGTTTAAATAAGAGAAAATTATTATACATGGTTTTTAACCATGTATAATAATTTTCTCTTATTTAATGAAACATTATTTTTTATTAGAAATTTTATTATGACAAAAAGAAAAAAGCATTTTATGATTAAATTTTGCTCTTGACAAAATATCCTCCTTTAGCCTTGATTACTGCAGTACATTTTTTTTGTATTCATTGCAAAACTTTCTCAATGTAAAATTTTGATCATTAATTCCATTGTTTTTTCAATAACTCTAAGAGATCTTTATCTTTTATTTTTCACTCTTCTGTCAACTTCATCCAGTAGTAATTTTGGCTTCAAACTTTTGAACTATCAGTCAATTATATTCCATACGTGATACACGCGTAGGCGATCATTTATCTTTCGATACATTCCTGGCGAGACAGATTTTTTTTTATCGCAGTAGTTTGCCATTTCTTTCTGCGGTAGCTCAGTTGACACCCAAGGTTATAGAACCCGATCTGTCCTACTATTTACCCATAGCTGTGGCGGGGGAGAAGAGGATTAATACCTTTTCCAAGAGTATTAGCACGTAACTGGAATTCGAATTCGGCTCTCCGATTCCTCAATCCGAGCTGCTATCATTTACTCCACCGTGTCTCCTATAGTGTACATATTTTCAACAGCATATTAGCATCTTCTAAATCCAATTGTTTCATTTTTACTTCATTTCTTGCTAATTTCGTGCAGATTTTTTTTTTTTACATTATTTTTCATTCGTTTTTGACTTTTATTTAGTTGGTCACTGTTATCCTGTCTGCTGGTTTAATTGCAACTAACTGCCATTATCGTCATTTTCTGCCTCGTTCAGATAAAATGACGGCGGGCACCATTGGAATTGCATGCATGACCAATCACTTTCTTTTATATTTGTACCCAATATCTTTCGATGACTCATTTTATTGCTTATTGCCATTTTGGAGAAAGAAACTTTAACTTTGCTGTTTGTTTAAAATATGCAGTTTTTTTTTTTTTTTAATAATTTCACCGCTAGCAAGGTGTGAACGCCATTAGTCCACAGGGGGTTACAGGGAGTGAAAGTGAGAGAAAAAACTGAGGATTGATATAAGAAGGATCGAGGAAAGAACAAACGATGAAGGAGATTAAAGAAGACAGAAGATGGCGATTGAAATTGCATTTAATTTTTGAAGATCAGGGAAGCGAGTAAACGGAAGGGAGTTCCACATCTTGAAAATGGAAGAAAAGAAACTGCTGGGGTAAAAGTGGCGGTTTTATTTAGTTATTTCAACAGAAAATGGGTGGGACCTAAATGCCAATCTAGTAGCCCGCTTAAATTCATGTAGTCAGGGCACCAGGAAAAAGTCTCGTCAGAGCAGTTGCTATGGAAATATTTATAAAAAAGACAGAGGAAAGCCACGTCACGTTGGTGAGAAAATGACTGAAGTCGCGATGCCAGATCAGGATCGATTATATTGCAAATCCTTCGTTGGATTTTGTCACGAACCTCGAGATGAATAGCATGGGCATCAGACCAGATATGACAACAGTATTCAATGCATAGACAAATGGTAGATTTGTAAATGTGCAAGATTGACTCTGACGAGAAAACAGTGACCTAACTTTATTTGCGTAGACACAGCTATTGATTTGATGTAGGCACTCATCTTGCGATCTGTTGAATTCAGGGATATTAAGCGCTGCATATTGGCTAAACTCTTGTGCTCTTAAAACATACTTTCAAACATTTAACATTGTCTTACCTTTAAACTTTGACATTATCCAGTCTCAAAATTTGACCTTTGCCAAGCCTTCTATCTAATCACTTTGTCAAAAGTTCAAATTTGATCTGGTCCAACGTTTCAACTTCAAGTCCCTCAAATTTTTAAGTGTCAACCCTAATTTGAACTTTGATGAACCTTCAAATTTTGACATTTGTCAAAGTATTCAAAAAATATCTAGCGTCTGATGATCATGTAAGACGTCACTCTCTTTTCTATGCTCGAACTCATTCAGCTGCCAATTCAATTTATATTAAGTCTTACCAACCATCCCTCTGTAAGCAGAAGGGTTGGACGTTTGACAAAAGTATTAACTTACAAATTTTCAACTTTGTCCAGCCTTTCAAACTTTTAAATTTGTCAAACCTAATTTGACTTTTGACAAATCTTCAGACTTTGACCTTTGTCAAAGCTAAAAATACATTGCAGATCCTTCTTTGAATTTTGTCACGAACCTCGAGATGAATAGCAATGGCACCAGACCAGATATGGCAAAAGTATTCAATACATAGACAATGATAGATTTGTAAATGTGCAAGATGGACTCTTGACAATGCGCTCGTCAATAGCAAAAAAAAAGTTGCTCTTTTCTATGACAACGGAAGGCTGATTACGGCAAAAATGACAAGGGAAGATATTTGGTAACTCGTATGGTCTGTACTACACTTAACACCATATTCACCTGACCTTACACCAATCAAATATTATCTTTTTAGATCGCTGCTAAATACTTTCATGGGGAAAAATTTTAGGATGAATTTTAGGATAGTCAACAGTTTGTTTGAAGCTTTGTTGTATCAAATCTTGTGGAATCTTACTCAAAAATTATCGAAAAGCTACCTGATAATTGCAACAAGTAATTACAAATATATAATTGAATGAGATGTAATTGTATTTTATTAAGAATAAAATTGATAATCAAAAACGGAAATTATTTATAGAATCTACCTAATAAAAATGCTTAGTATTTTATTGACTCTAAAAATGTGTAAATATTATCGTTTTACCATGTATTTTGCAAATTCAATTAAGAGTGACTGACTCGATTTATCATTAATAATGAATTCTCTTCGTTTGCTTTTACTTGAAATAAGTTTACTATCGACTGGATTGAATGTGCCATCGGCGAGCCGATTTCATATTCTCGCCTCATCTATCGAGTTTACTTTGCACTAAAACCCTCATTTAATTCCAGCAATGAGTTAAATAACAAAATGGACACGGTTTTGTAACGTTGAGCGATAACAAGTCTAAAAGACTTAGAATTCAAAGCCAGGATAAAGACTCCTTTCCCCTTTTTGGGATAATGTTTTCCGCTGACATAAAGTGGAAAGATTATAGGGAAACAATTGCTAGGAAAGTTGGTTCACCGTGTCGTGTTAGACAATTTTTCTCATCAAAATCTGTCTTACACATTTATAAGTCAAGCATTCGTAAAAATGTCTCAGAATTAATCTGTAGTAAAAGACAATATGTATAAAAGAAAAAAGACAATAGGAAAACAGTAATCGGTTAAAACTATAGTTTTCCTATTGCCTATTTTTCTACCATTCGTACATGCATAGAATATTTCAGTCTCATCTGGTCTAGTGATTCTGCTATGTATTTATGGAT